CAGGTGAGTGTGACTCAACCCCAGCAGGTGACACCTACTCCTGGAGCCACACCCTGGTGTCCCAGCTGGGGGGGCACCCAAGTTCCTGGACCTGGCACTACCCTGCCTGACTGAATGCAATAACTGTTCAGACCCTGGAGCATCAGGACTTAGGAGGTTCATGGAGAGCGGCTTCCCTCACTAATGGCTCTCCTCACCTGGGACCTACGCTGAGCTGATCCCTTGGAATCCAGGGAAACCTCTGCAGATGAAGAGGGAGCTGGACATAGAGAGGGAGTCACATGTCAGTGCACAGCTCCTCTGGGGACAGCCACTTAGACAGTCTGTCTCCTCCTCTTCCCAAATGGTCTCCATCACATGTTGCTTCCAGTCTACCTGCTGGTGCTGATGTGTCCTATGTCACATAACCAACATGAAACACAACCAACATGACAGTGTCACACAACCAACATGACAGTGTCACAAGTTCTCCAGGAACAGAAGGACCATGTCACAGTAGCAGACAGTGGGAGAGAAAGCAGTGTGCTGAACTCAGAACTGAGCACTCAGCACCCAGAGCCTGAGAGGGTGTGGTGAGTGAGACTGGGCACTAGGAAGGGATCAGGGTCCTGAGGATCGGGCTGGGCTCAGGAGTGTGGGCTCCTCCACTGACAGCCTTCCAGCTCCCCTGAAACCACCTGCTCTCCTCTCACAGGTAAAGCTCCACCTGGGCTCAAGACAGGGACACATCTCAGGAGCACAGAGGACCTGGGCAGCCTGACCTCAGCCTCTCCAGATATCAGAAGAGCCTCACCCACATGCAAATCCCTCCTCCTGCTCTGGGTTCAAAGGCCCTCTGGGCTGTGGAAGCTCCCAGCTCTCTGCTCAGACAGGGCTGAGGTCTCTGGGAAGGCAGGTGTGGTCTAGAAGATGAGGCTGCTGGGTCTTGTCCTGTGCCTGGTCACAGCTCCCCAAGGTGAGTGTCCCCAGTGTCAGACCTGGGTCCATGGGGAGATTGTGACTGCAGGTGACTGACAGGATGTGACTCTATTTGTCCCCAGGTGTCCTGTGCCAGGTGCAGCTGCAGGAGTCAGGACCTGGCCTGGTGAAGCCCTCGAAGACTTGTACTGTCTCTGGATTCTCCACCACAACCAGTAATTACAACTGGAACTGGATCCGTCATTCCCCAGGGAAGGGGCTGGAGTACATAGGGCTCATAACTAGTGGTGGTAGCACTTACTACAGCCCATCCCTCAAGAGCCGAGTGTCCATCTCCAGAGACACGTCCAAGAACCAGTTCTCCCTGCAGCTGAGCTCCCTG